AGTCAGCCCCAGGCAAATCTGAAATGCTGGGGGCTGCGTGGGTTTACAGAGCACCTCTGAGTCACAGAGTGGAGTGAACTAAACAACCTGAGCTCCTTCCTCTCTCTGAAGTCCTTGTAAATGAGCTAATAGGTCTTGTTTACTTTGTATGCCACTTTGAGGATTTTCTCTTCCTAACAGCCAGAGGCAGCTTCGCTGGTATGATGCTTATTCCTGTACGGTCACGTGGAGTCACTCATTCCGCACTGACTAGTGAGGTCATTGAGTTCAGTCACGGGAAAACCAGCATTACGGATTCCTGTCTGTGGAGTCCCCACTGCTTACCTGGGTCCCGTGGCCAAGCTCTCTTGTTCCTGTAATTAGAATTAGAAATGTACCTCCACACACACAGGTGCACGAACACACATATCCCACACATGGGTGCTTGCATGCACGCACATGTGTGTGAACACGCATCCCACATGCGTGTGTGGACACATGTACCTCCCACATGCACATGAAAGCATGCATCCCACACACATCACATGAACACACACATCTCACAATATGTGAAAGCATATACAAAGCACACCCGTGTGCAAGGACACACATAGCTCACACATACATGAAAGTCAACACATGCATCACAGACATGTGTGCGGACACATGTACCCCTCACAATTACGTCAGGACACTTGCATCCATGCATAAGGACACTTGTGACACAGCAGCAGGTGGGTTTTCTGTGCATGTGGGTGCTGGGAAATGATCGCATCTTGGGCTTAATTAAAGATGACGCGCGATCCGCCGCACACGACCTCCATCAAAGCGCGTTGTTTCTTAGGGGGAAGGCAGGTGCGCCCTGAAGAAGCGTCTGTGAATGTTCGGAGCGCGACACGGGGCGGAGCAGTCTCCAATTAGACGTGGAGACCTCTCCTCTGTACCTGCCCTCACGTCTGGCTCTGGACTCACCAGGGAGCAGGCACTCTGGCAACAGCTGGCGTGCAAACTCTTGGTTGCCGACCCAACTTCCATCCTTTTCTTTCTTATTAAGAGAAACCTGTTTGCTGTTTTGTTTTACTGGGAGGAGGTATCGACATTTCTAGCTGATAACTGACGTTTCTCAGCTTCCCCCGCTACTCAAAGTGGTCATGGGATATGGCTCTGAGCAAAGCACAAAGGCTAAGAATTTCTGAGTAAGCTTTGCTTTCATGATATAGACCCCACCGTTTCCTGTTTCCCTTTGTCTTTCCTGAATAAACTTGGTGTGCACTGGCAGGAGCCACGGCAGCCATTTTGTGACTGATCACAGAAAGAAGCTTAAGAAATTCACAAAGATGATTCTGAATCCTTGGAGACACTGCCAGCCTCTAGACTTCTAATAATACGACAGAAAGTTAAACTCCCATCTGCTTTATGCCATGGTAGTTGTGTAGTTTGGTTTTGCCACATGTATCTGAATATAATCTCTAATCAATATAGTCTCTGATCAATATAGATACAACTGATAGCCAAGTGCCTTGTGTTCCCAAACAAGAGGCCTCTGGGTTGTCAGTAGGGAAAATATCTTATTTGGAAATAATAAACTAAAATGATTACAGCTAATAAGTTAGCAGGCAAAGAGGATCTCTTTTTTTAGAGATTTATTTATTTACTTGAAAGAGTTACACAGAGAGAAGGAGAGGGAGAGAGAGAGAGGTCTTCCATCCACTAGTTCACTTCTCAATTGGCCGCAACAGGCAGAGCTGCGCCGATCCGAATCCAGGAGGCAGGAGCTTCCTCCAGGTCTCCCACATGGGTGCAGGGGTCCAAGGACTCGGGCCATCTTCTACTGCTTTCCCAGGCCATAGGAGAGAGCTGGGAGCAGCCGGAACTTGAACCAGCACCTATATGGGATGCTGGCACTGCAGGCAGTGGCTTTACCTGCTACTCCATAGCACTGGCCCCTCAGTCTATGTGTTATGCAGCATGTATGAGCTGTTCAGATTGCAGTTATACAGCATCTATGAGCCATTCAGTCCACATGTTATACAGCATGTGAGAGCCATTCATTTTGCATGTATGAGCTGTTCATACTACATGTTATATAGCACCTATGAGCCGTTCAGACTGCATGTCATACAGCACCTGTGAGCCGTTCAGACTGTGTGTCATATAGCGTGCATGAGCCATTCAGACTTACGTCAAACAGCATGTATGAGCCATGAGACTGCGTGTTGTGCAGCATGCATGAGCCATTCTGCTGTATGCTGTACAGTGTGTATGAGCTGTTCAGAGTGTGTGCTATGTAGCATGTGTGAGCCGTTCAGATTGCGGTATACAGCGTGTGTGGGCCATTGGGTCTGTGCTACACAGCGTGTATGAACCAAGTAGAGAGGAAAGGACCCGGCTGAGATACTTGTGCCCGTGTTTTTTCTGGGTCTCATCTTTTAGAAGGGTTTAGATTTATTTGAGAGAGTGCACCCTCCCAGCCACTGATTCACCTTCCAAATGCCCACAAGGGCCAGAACTGGTCAAATCAGGAGGTGGGGGCTCAACCCAGGTCTCCTGTGTGGGTAGCGGGCACCCAAGTACTGAGCCGTCATGGCTGCCTCACAGGCGTGCACAGCAGAGGCTGGAAGTGGGAGCGGAGCAGGGAACTGAGCCCAGACTCTCCCACAGGGGACGCATCTTAACCACCAGAGCCCAGCGCCCAGCCCGATCGCTTACGGTGACCAGCCGGAAGGCGCAAAGCCCAGGGAGGCTTGCGAGGGGCTCACACCGTTCCTCTGCCTGGGGAGCGGCAGTAGCGCACCGTGTGGGCATCCTTTGAAGAGTCCTTTCGCTTGGTCTGTGGAGAGTACCTGTGGCTGAGGGAGAAAACAACGCGATTCCCACATCCTGCTCAGAGGACGCCCCACGCATCTCAGCTGGGTAAAATGCTCCACGATGACCAACACCTCCAGTAGGAACCCAAAGGTGGGCCTTCTGAGACTAGAAATTGTTCCGCACTGCTTGAAATGCCCGTTTAGTGGGTTGTTGAACCTCTGATCATAGCAGACTGCCAGATGACCCAGAGCGAGCTGCCCTGCCGCACTGACAGCGACAACAAAGAGGACTGTTTTAAAAAGCACGAATGGGAAAGCTGTGACCGCTTCCTTCCCTTTTGGATTCTTCCTCCTTATTATCCTGTTCTGCTGCCCGCAGCTCTGCGTGTTATCACCTCTTGAAAGCAATCATCTCCTCTCGCCATTCTGTGTGCCATGCAGACGCCACCAAGCTTTGCCAAATCCCAGATGCATGGTGCCAAATGTTCCCTAGAGTAGGAATGGATGGGTATCAAAGGGGGAACCGGGGAGGGGTGAAACCTGTTGTGTGTGGTTGACCGTTTCTTTTGAACACCTTCTTCTTCTTCTTCTTTTTTTTTTTTATAGGGATCCCTGATTTTAGGTCCATGTTCCCCAATGGAATCCTAACAGCCACATTTCCCATTTCTTACACCTGGCGACAGGCATGTGATCTGGGTTCTGCCGATCAGACACACTCACTCTGGACTCTGCTCTAGGAGTGAGCCCCAGGTGGAAGAGGCTGTCAAGGGTGGTATGCATGGTGGGTGCAGGTGGTCGCCCAGCCAGTGGGAGAGATGTGGACCCTGCAGAGTACCTAAGGGTCACCCTCTCATCAACCTCATCAGAGATACGGCTTTGGGCATTGAAGTTGCACGTTTAGCCTTGAGCCAGTTTCTGGCTTGCCTTTAGAAGAAATTAGCAAGAACACAGCACCTCTTTTGTGGTTGACAATCAAGACAAGAGCAGGATAAAGTTCTTTAAAGGTTTCAAATGTGGTTTCCTTAAGTGAAGAAAATCTAAGCATATGGCAAGAAGCTTCAAAATCTGTTAATGTGCTAACATCGCGATAAAAATGGAAGTGGTGAGCGTCAACGATCCGCCAGGCCACGCTCTCTGAAAATGGAAGATGCTCTCTGGGTCGTCTTGTCTTTTTCCTTGGAGTTGACTAAATTTGGCATAGTGAGCTACTTCTACTTCTCCTTGTGAAGACGTGGTGCTACTGCTAGGCTTAAGTGTACTGGAAGAGAGATTTTTAAATGGAAATGTTGCAGAAAACCTGGTGATTGTGGCTCTTTGGACTCCAGCCCCATCTACTACGTGACCTCCGGCAAGTCACCTGGCCTCTCTCGTCCTCTGTCTTCTCATCTATTAGATGGGAGTGTCAATTCTCAGTTTATAGAACTATCATGAGGGATATGCAAATAACATCAGCAAAATAGTGCAACATCACGCTAAGGGCTGAAGATAAGGAAATCAGTGAGTGACGGATAGGGCCAGCCTCCATTTGCAACCCAGCCTGTCCATGATGGTTACTTTTAGTTGTGAACTTGACTCCACTAAGGAACACCTGTGAGTCTGAGTGGACCAGACAGGAACGCCCTGTCCTCAGTGAGGTGAGAGTGACACTATCCTTTGGCTGGGATTCTGTAGAGACTGAACAAGCAGGTGAACTGGCCTCGTGCTCTGAGAGCTGGGACTTACTCGACTTCCGCATTGGCCGTCTATCGCTTCTTGCTGGCACCCAGCCTTTCAGCCTCCAACCGAGAGTGCCACCCTTGGCTTCCCTGGCTGGAGGCTGGAGGCTTTGCACTTGGGCTGAGCTTGCTCCGGGCACCCCAGAGTCTCCAGCCTGCAGAGAACCTGCCGTGGGATGGCTCAGCTACCGTAGGCAGGTGAGCCAATTCCTCTAATGAATGCTCCTCCACAGGTCAGGATACACACCCTTTCAGTCCTGTCTCTCCGTAGAACCCCAACTAACATGCTGTCCAGCAGTAGACTGAGTGTCTATGAGCTCCTACCAGTAGCCTCTAGAAAAGATATAAATCACTCTAAGGGATCATGAAGGGGCCTTCAGAGCTAAAAACTCAGCCTGTCTTCGCGAGCAGGCGAACACATCGCCAAGACGCTTGCTAATCTCTGCCACGCTATCCTCTCACTTGGGACTGAAATAAGAGAACAATCCACCCTTTGGACAACGTGTTGAAGCTTTTATTGTGAACAGGAGCAGACCAGGGCCTTGAATCGAATCCACAAACAGCTTAGATGTAAAAAGCATTCATTGGAAGACTCTTTCTGGACAATCGTTCACGGCAAACAAGCTCAAACCGGATGATGCTGCCGGAAAATCATGAATGTGGTCGAGGTTGAAAGACACAAGAACAGGTAAGTGTTTTGCACAAAGGAGATCTCGTGGGTGGTCCCGTGGCACTGATGCTTGCAGACCGCAGTCTCTGAAGGGTTTGGTTTTGCTCCTTTGAAAGAGGCTGCCATTGTCCATTCGGCCGGGGGCTCCTTCCTTCCCAGGGAGATCCTACCAGCTTGAAAAGACACGAGAAAGAGTTAAGCAAATGTTCTTGGTGATGCTGCAGTCCAGTACTTGAAGTAGATCCGTTCCTAACTGGAAGCACCACTTGGGAGCTTGTTAGGCAGATGCTTGGGTCAACCCCATACCTGCTGAGTGGGACACCAGGGGGTGGAGTCCAGCAGTCTTTTACAAGCCTCCAGGTGGTTCTGCACACTTAGTGTTGGACTGAAAACCATGGCTGTTCTCCCAAAGCAAACCTAACCCCCTCTTTTCTTTTTAGAGCTACTGCATTGGTGGGGGAGGGTCTCCGTGGCATCAGATTAATATGTACCCTGATATGATTACTCGGGTACTTTGGAACCAGTGCTGGAAATGAAACGTACAATCCCTGGGAACTTATTTGTAGAGTAACAGGCCGGTCAGGGGATGCTGGGAGTGTGGAATTGCAATTCTCACTCTGCTTTCTTTGGCAACGTCTGGTTACACAACTGCGGGCTGGTTCATGAATCCCACAATGACACATCCAAAACCTATGACCGTGAATGGTGGTAGTACGGGCGACTTGGGAAGAGGATCTGGGCTCCTGCCAGGTCTAAATTTATTGTGGTTTATTTGTTGTGGCTTCTGCTCCAATGAACTAAGACTGAAAAGGAATGAGTAGTTATTTAAAAATGCTTCTTGGTTCCCATCTAGCAACGTTTGCCTGCAGAGGGCAGAAAGCACTTTTCACCCAGACCAGAGCTTTATTCCTCTTCCCCGATTCTCAGCTCAGATTCGCCACGGTCCAGAGCAGTCATTTGTTTCTAATAACAGAGCTCCTGCTATCCGCAGCTGGGTGATAACCTGCTCTCAGCGCCACTGTTTCGACCAGGTGCTAATGAGCCCAGGGCCTGGGGGTTCGATTCCCACACATGCCAATTAGCTTTGCTTTCCTCCCAGAGCTAGGGGCCCCCACCAGCCTGAAGACACTGCCGTGCACCGTGCTGTATGTCACGGGTCTTAAAAAAGGCCGGCAGTGAAGGGGGTGAGAGGGAGATAATCCAGAGACGTTGTCCCAGCGGCTCAGAATACTAATCATGGGAGCTTTGGCTCAGGGGGACGGAAGTGAGGCCGCCAGGAAGGAGAGTCACAGACCAAGGCATGCCAGGGCCCTGGAGGCAGATGGGTCCGTGGGAGGGGGAGAGGAGCTATTCCGAGATGGACACCGGCAGAAACTGCCGTCATCGTCATCGACATCGGCATTACAAACTCCATGCCGCTTTCCCTATGTTTGGAGCTCCCTTTGGAGCATTTCAAATATTAAGAAACGAAGCCTTTCTGTTCTCTGCACGGATTTGATGGGACAGCGAGAGCATTGCTTTGAAAGGCAGGACAAGACTTACGCATCTACTTCCTGTCCACAGCCACCTCTGTGCCCCCATCTCCACTGCCTCTCTTCATGTGCATTCAGTGAAAGGAAAAACCCAACACTGCAACCGACAGTGCGTGGGACCCATGTCCCTAAGGGGCCCCAGAGGCCAGCGGATACGCCACTGAAACTCAGAGCGACCCACAGCCTTGTCCAGGACCGTGGGCTAGGCACAGCCCTTTATTACAGAAATCAGGGAGCCGTAGGTCTACTAATTTCAGGATAGTATTGAAAACTTGGTGGGAAGGGCATAGGAAAAAAAAGACTAAGGTCCCCTTGAAAAGCACTGACCGTCCTTGCTAATGAAGTCCAGGAACCTAGAGGCAGTGCGCACTTAGACGAATCTCTCTGAATTAAATAAGTGTCTTTGTCATCCAAACATGCTCAGAGTTCTTAACGATAGCTCCGGGAGAGCTGGCAACAGGACTTGATGTTTCATTATGAAAATGGGAGCAGAGAGCATATGGGCATAGTTTTTAATTTGAAGAAAAGTCTTGCAGCCTCCGAGAATGCCTGCTGCTAATTCTGGGGCTGCTTGGCTGAATTATTGAGCTTCTCCCCAACACTGGGAGATAGACGGCTTTCTAACAGAATTATTCTCTCGGCACTCCGTCTTTTTGAATGATGTCAGTTTTCAGAAGGGCACACTTGGAGGTGGAATTTCCAAGCCAGGAGGCGTGATGGGCTGTTTTGGTGTCTGCAAAGACTGAATAAACTGTTGCATTTGTTTTTCCCATCATTGGGAGCTACATCCAAGAGAAGAGTACCAAGCTGCAGATAGCTCATTATTTTAACTCGAGGTGAAATGAAAACGATGAGCTTTCTAAACTTGTCCGAAGAAAGACAATGCACAGGAAGGGTAGAAAAGCAAGGCCTGGTTATGGGAAGATGGCCTGACTCTGCCCACTTTGCGTTCAGTGCTGTCTTTAGTCAGTCGCTCTCTGTAGCTGCCCACTCAATCCATCCCATAATGCTGCCACTCTGAGGCCTTTCTGGAGCTATTATCCTTTTGCAGCTCCTGTTGGGGCTTACAGAACATGCTTCTCAATAGGGTAGGAAATTTTTGATCCTTGAGTAAGGAATTGAATGTTTCAAAAAACCCAAGGCCAGTACTGTGGTACAGCAGGTTAAGCCACTGCCTGTAAGGCTGGCATCCCATACGGGCACTGGTTCGAGTCCCTGCTGCTCCACTTCCCATCTAGCTCTCTGCTAGTGCACCTGGCAAAGCAGCAGAAGATAGCTCAAGTGCTTGGGCCTCTGTACCCACATGGGAGACCCAGAAGAAGCTCCTGGCTCCTGGCTCCTGGCTTCAGATCAGCGCAGCTCCAGCCATTGCAGCCAATTTAGGGAGTGAACCAGTGGATGGAAGATCTCTTTCTCTGTCTTTCTCCCTCTCTCTCTCTCTCTAACTCTGTCTTTCAAATAAAACAAATCCTTGAAAAACTTGCAACCATGTGCAGAAGAGTATGCCACTCACACTGGACATTGCTGTTTGGCTCAAAGATGAGCAGGACAGAGCGATACCGTTGGATGTGTTGGAAGGGGTACTTTGTGAATAAGCTATGAAGGGGAATCCTTTTCAACATTTGTCACAATTATTTTCAAGGGCTGAGTGGGGACGATCTTTGTTACTCTTCAACAAATGCAAGGGGTACTTGACCAAGAAAAGGCACGCCCAGCAGGGGCTAAGAAGTCCAACACCAGCTCGAAGAACCCAGCCTCCCCTGCAGAGTGTCCCTGAAGTCCAGAGCTGATCACGAAACACCTATAACTCAGGTGTGGGCCAGAGAATCACTTGGCACCTTGGACAAAGTTAGTATTTATTTCTGAATTGGTTGAATTAACCTGGATTTTTTTTTCTGAATAAAAGCTACTGAAGACTTATCTCCAGATGCTGAGTGTAACACATGAGCTTTTAGTTTGCGTTAGCATAGAAAATCCCTCAGCAGACAAAAGGGCACTGAAACATAAAAGCTCCCTAGGAAAGCAGTGTGATCTGTAGTGGAAACCATGAGGAAGAGGACCTGCTGTGGCATCCTGCCGCTTTCCTGGTTGGGGGGTGGGGGGCATTCCCTTCGCGTGGCACTGACGGTGGGAGGCAGCCTGAGCACTCTAGCCTGGATTCACCAGCGCAGAGCTCTGCCAAGTATCTCGGTTTCTCTTCTCTGACATGCAGAGAGTAATAGAATCCTCCTCCCGTGGTTGCTGTGAGCAAACACTGAGAGATGGACGTAAACTGCTTGGCCGAGATCAGGGAGAGTTGTAAACACTCAATGAAACTAGCATCATTATTATGGCCATTTGTAATTATGATTGACTTTTATTACACACATCACGGAAACTTCTTACAAGCTAGTGAGCATCACACCATTCCCACTTGCCTTGCTTTCTTCCTATAGATTTGGTTCTCTGCTTTATCCTGTTGACTCTCTCTGTATGCAAACACTGCCAATCTGATGAGGTTATTTTCCCCTACCCTCTGTAAAAATCATACCTAGGATGAGTCACTTGACCTCAGAGAGATTCACCGAGATTTGAAGTACTAACACGAAGCCTGAACAATGTAGTCTTTTTTTTTTTTTTTGACAGGCAGAGTGGACAGTGAGAGAGAGAGACAGAGAGAAAGGTCTTCCTTTTCCGTTGGTTCACCCTCCAATGGCCACCACGGCACGTGCACCACACTGATCCGAAGGCAGGAGCCAGGTGCTTTTCCTGGTCTCCCATGGGGTGCAGGGCCCAAGCACTTGGGCTGTCCTCCACTGCACTCCTGGGCCACAGCAGAGAGCTGGCCTGGAAGAGGGGCAACTGGGACAGAATCCGGTGCCCCGACCAGGACTAGAAACCGGGGTGCTGGTGCCGCAAGACGGAGGATTAGTCTATTGAGCCACAGCGCCAGCCACAAAGTAGTCTTAAAACAAATATGGAGAAGCACGATTTTGCATATTAGGTGGCAAACAAGAATGCTTCCTTCCCAAAATACCTATGAATATGCTCTTCCTTCCACTACTGTTCATTAAAAAATAGATGTATCTGTAGACCCATAGGGATTTACTCAAATACGATACTGTCTTGTTGTCTTGTTATTACAAAATTCTGCTAAGAATTGGCAGTTCGAAACATTTCCTCCAACACACAATTGCAAATAAACACAATTCCTAATAAAACTCCTAAACTGGAGTTGGTACCAAAAACCCTCTTGAGGTGTTCAGAGAAAAAGTAGTCTGTCAGGTCAAAAAGAAATGATAGCATAGAAATTGTGTATTAATTTGCTTAACATGTGTTGGTGTTGGTCTATGTAGTGGCTATGAAGGCTTGCATCATGCTATGGTTTGAATAGGACATGGCTCTTGATATCACACAGATACTTAGTCCCCCAAGTCATAAGTGGGTGAAAACTGAATCCAACCATGGTATTTAGGAGGAGGGCCTCATGACAGGGCCTTAGGTCATTAGAAGGCATTAGAAGGTATGTCCTTGGAAGGTAGCTCTCATGAGAGGGCTGGTTGTAAAAGCTGAGTTGTGCCTATACCCCCACCCCAGCCCACTTCCTGGTTTCCTGTGATCTTCCCTCTGCACATCCTCCCCGGTTGCCAACCTCCACCCTCACTGCATGGTCAAACCAATGGGACCTACCCGATTTTGGACTGTGAACCTCCAAAACCATAAGCCAAAATCAACCTTTTCTCTGCATTGATATCTCTCAGATATCATGGCGTAGTCATGAAAACCTGACTCATGTACATCAAAAGCAATTTTATTCTTTCCTAAGTAAACATCCCCTCCTCCAGCTCTCCCCAGATTCCTCCACCCTACCTCTGGAGGACGTTTGTTTTACCTTTCTTGGCGTTTTGAGCCAACGTCTCGAAAGTTGCTGCTGTCCTCTGAATCCCAGGTAGGCTGGAGGTTGCCCAGGAGCTCGAGTCGATGTGGCTGCTGGTTCCTATTCCCCTTTTCTTCCATGAGGCCCAGCAAACTCCTGGCAGCTTCTTCCCACCGAATGTACTCCCGCAGCTGCTGCTTCAGGCTGTCCCTTTCAGAAGCATAGGGCGACTCTCCTGTGCTCTTCTTCCCCATCAAGTGCCCTGGAAAACCAAAACCAAATCAGGACGCCAAAAATCAAACCAAGGGGAGTGAATGCATGAGAAATTAAAAGGATACCGATTCCATTTCTGCTGCTCCCTACTAAAAACTACAAAATTAGCAGCATTTGTTTATTAGAGGCTACTTCATAAATGGTAGATCCTGCCCCCTTCAAAACAGGCCATTCAAGGTCCCTGGACTTGGTTCCAGCACCTCCACTACCTAGCTAGTTGACCTGTGCTAAGTCACTGAGTGTCCGCAGTCTTCCATTTCCTCCATTATAAAATGAACACGGGACACTAGATGTTGCACTAAGGCAACTTCCAAATCTAAAATTCGATCATCAAGTCTGGGTACCACCTTCTATTCCCAACTGAAAGATGGAGTTTAAGCATCTTCCTCAGCCAGTTCTGAATTGCTGCTGAATATAAAAGTCTTGGTGCTCCTCTTTGTATGTTTTTTTTTTAAGTTCTTATATGTAATACAAATGTACCAAAGGAATTTCTCATCTAAACTCTTTCAGAACTCTAGCTGAGATTGAAACTAGAAAACTTCACCTCGAAATTATGGTTTATTGAGTGTAATGAAAAACAGGTTGAAAACAACTTCTAATACCTCCCAGTCACATAGAGGTAGAATTTTCTCTTCAATGTCTGATGTGTTTGTGGCTCCAAGAATGTGACCTGCTGTCTAAATAAATAAAAGGTATTGTTAAGGAGGCCAGACCACTAAAAACTTGGAAATTTATGTGTGCGAATGAAGGTTACAGAAGGTCAGCAGTGGGTGTAGAATTCAAGACCTGCATTCCTAACATTTATGCTGTCTTATTTACTTTCTTTGGTTGGTTTTACCCAATCTCTCTGTCATTGAGCTTTGTAAAACCATGGGATTTCTTATATCCCTAAAACTATGGTGCTTTTTAAAGAAAATGGGTTTTGTAGCTCAAATGTTGATTTGTCATTGGAAGTATTTAAGGCAACCCTCATGTGAATAATATTGGGAAGATCCACAGTGACTTAAAGTGAAAGAGCAGCTGTATTCACCAACAGAGAAATGATCCTTGTAGCTTCATTGCCTTCATGTGAATTGCAGTTGGGAGTTTACAGAATGTTTACTTGTGGATTATTCCCTTTCACCCACACTATTGTAGACTTGGTGAAGATGAGACTTGCCAGGAGTCACACAGATGCAAGCAAAGGTTCTAGAATGAAAATCAGCTCACAATGCAGACTCTATCATTACTGGTTTTTGAAGTGTTTTTAAAACTCCTAAGGATATGAGGTAGCTAAAAATCACTCTGGGGTCTAGAAATGAGGGTAAGGGCCACAAATGGCTTTCTATTGTTGTAAAAAGGAGTAGGGGTCGCATATCAGTGCCTCATGACTCATTATGTGACTCAGAAATATTAATTCTCTGAGAACTAGGGAGCCTGAAAGTGAGCTTTTACTGCATTGCATTGTGAGTACTTGTCAAATCACTTGTGACATGACACTTAACTTCCTATTGAGGATGGTGTCCCAAGTGATGGATTAGAATCCTGGATGATGGGCTGTTATCCGCTAGGTCAACCTGGTGCCCGGATATCCATTAAATAAACTTGCATTCATCCACAACGGTGATTATGTTGCACTGCTTCCTGGGAAGTACTCATGCATTCAGCTTTATTTCTATGGGGAAATTGAATCATGATTGGAAGGCAGAATTGGGACTCTGATGCTCGCAGGTACAACCTCAGTTCCTCTAGCCTGCCCTAATTGCCTGTCATCTCGTTAGGATGCCTAGAAATGAGACAGGAGTTATTGGCCATGAAGCAGAGGGGTGGCGGAGATAGTCTACAAACACCAACTTCATCTTGATCATACCTGAATGATTTCATGGCGTTTTCTGAAATGGGAGAATAAAATCTCCATTCTGTGATTGATTTCCCATTAATCTTTATGACAATTTCAGTGCTTGTGTGGTGGGTGTGTGGTTCAACCCCTTTACCCCCAACCCTAGGTCCACAAACTGGTGTTAAGAAAGCACAGATTCCCTGGGTCCTGATTCACTTTTGAGCTGGCTACTGTCAACCAAATCATTGTCTCCATGGCAGCATAGATGATCTGCCCACTCCCACCTCTTTTCTCATCATCATTTATCACATGTCCGTATCATAATAATGGAGATCTCGCCATAGACAAAAGGCTCTTGAAAAACTAAAACCTTTCTCGGAGAAAATAAATCTTTGTCCTTTTTAACCATTTAAAGATACCCAAAGGGCAAGCTTGAAACAGATATAAAAATTTTTGGAGTCAAAACTTGACAATTGCTCTAACTTAGGAAAATAAGCATTAGGGCAGGGATGAAAGTGCGAGGTACTTCTAAGAGCTAGCTTTTCTGGAGCCGCGCATTGTATTTCACAGTTCTGAACTGCACGGCCATGTCAGCTGCACACTGACATTGGCAAACTCAACCTTCTGGGACAAACCATGTGTTAAATCAGAGCCACAGGTAGCAGCGTTTCATGGGAGTACAGAGCCTCGTCCCTGGCGTTGGTGCTGACATATTTTCATCACATGGACAAAACATTTCCATGCACATCAGGCCCCACGAGACTGGAAGTGTTCAAGCTGCTAACTTGTTTCCCTTGGTGCACCTGGAAGTGTTCAAGCTGCAAACTTGTTTCCCTTGCTGCACCAAGCTTCTCTGAGCTGGAAGAAGCAATTCCCTTAACAAGCCTGCAAATGTATGCTGACAGCTTCCTTGTGGACAGCAAAATGTAGCTTTAGTTTTATGTAATTAAAACGAAACTGCATGCCTTTGGTGATTGGTGGGGATAGGCATTTTCTGGGGGTAATTGAAAGCCAAATTTAAAATCTAAGCACATCAGTCATCCTTGTTGGTGCTCGCATTCTGTCTGTGGGCACGTCTCGCCTACTCGAGGCAAACTTTTTCTCATTCATAATATCATTTTAGGCTGAAATGTGGTTTTCTACTTCACCCCCCCCCCTTTCCTTGTCCTCAACTCTTGCATAGCAAGTAAAGGGAGGAAAAAGGAAAAGCCCATTTGAGAATAAACCAGCAAATGGTATTTGGGGATGGCACTGGGCAATAAACTTTGGAGTTAGGAGTTCCCAGGTGCCACTATGACAGGTGAATAAATGACAGGCATCCTACAAAGCTGGGGACAGACAGATGTGCAGTAGAATCAGCGGGAATCAGGGCTGGCCCAGCCTATACTAGGCTTAACAAACCCTGTTGGCCTCCAGTCACTCTGCAAGGATTACCTAATAATAAGCCTTTTTAATGCAAAAATGTGGATTTGAAAAAAAAAAAGGTTGGAAATCTGGGTTTTCATTGTTCCTGTCCAGTCTGCTAGGTGGCTGGACCAGAGGATGGCCACCTAATGGGCTCAGGTCTTTGGAAGAAGTTTGAATTCAAGGTTCCCACCTGAAATGTGAAGGTTTCTCAGCTTCACCCATGCCAACCTCTTCCCCCTCCAACACACACACACCAGAATCCTGGGTTCCTCCCATTGCCAGAGATCACAAATCGCCTCACGCCTGAACTTGCGTGGGATTTCTCCGCAGCAGCCCAGAGCTCTCCACTTGTCTGACAAAAGCACACAACACAGAGGAGCTGAGGCTGGGGCAGTTCCATGCTCACCCCTTCCCCAGAATCCCTCCTCTTCGCACTGAGAATCCATGGATCGGTTGATGGGACCCTCTCCTAAACAGATGACGAGGAAATAGCCACACACGCCCCTGGCGTCTCTTTTGGGGTCTCCCAGCTGCCCAGGAGATGTCGGGGCTGTTGGAGTTGGCTCTGCGCGTGGAGGGGAGGGGGTTTTTGAGGAAGTTGCAGGCTTTTTGCCTTTGCGAGATTAAGAGTGCGTGGTGAAGCCGAGAACACCCGGGTGCTGCAGGGTGCGTGCGCGCTCGGCAGACTCCTCTGGGACTGCCGAGGTCAGCATCAGGGAGCCCCCAAGCTCAGGCCCAGAGAGCAGGACTTGTTGGCAGAGCAAATGGGGAAGGAGCTGAGGGAGAGGGCGAAGTCGTGGAGAGACCGAGGAAGAGCGAGAGGCGCAGAGATGCGGGCTGGGCTGGGCGAGCAGGCGCGCTTCCGAAGCCCCAAGCCTGCCGGCTGCAGAGGGCGAAGGAGGCAAAAGGGCAGGGCACGGAAATCACTGCAAAGGGGAGAGAAGGGCTGGGGACACTCGAACAGCCCCAGACAGCAGCACTGCTCCCGGGACACAGGGGAACCTCGAGGCGCTAGCGCGACGCCTGAGGTCCCCACACCTGTGGCTTTGCCAGGCGCAGCCCTTATTCCAGCCCACACCAGGACTGAACCAGGGCTCTAAGATGCGCTCTGGGGACCCTGCTCCCCAAAGTGGTTCAGAGCGAGAACCACGCCAGACGGGGTTGTGACTAGGAAGAGAAAAGCGGGTGTTAGGTGGTGCGGCAGGGGTCGGGATATCGGGATAAGCTGCCCGCTGGCTCAGGCACCCAGGGGAAGAGAGCGGGAAAGGATGGCGCGGGCAGCCTGCGGCTGGTGAGGGACCCACGGGCATCCCGCCGCGGGAAAGGCTCGGGGCCGACCCAGCCTCCAAAGCCGCCCACCACCACCACCACCACGGGGGACACGGTGCGAGATAGACCACAGGTCCCCGGACTAGCTGCTCCCTCCGAGGAGGACCAGGGCGCACAGTTCCCGCGGCCAGGACACTCACCCACTGCCCAGTGGTTGCCACGCGGGTACATCTTGGCCAACAAGGTGCCTCCGCCCGCTGACACCGGGGCCGCTGGCCCCCGGGGCGCCTGGCACAGCACCAGCGCCAGGAGGACTAGCGGGAGCTCTCGGCTGCGCATTGTCCCGGCGGGAAGCCTTGCAGCTCTGGGCACTGCTGGGCGCTGCGCTGCGCTCTCCGGCGGAGCAGGGACAGGAGGGGCCGGACCCGGGAGGAGCTCCCAGCCGCTGGCGCTACTGCTGCAGCCTCCACCAGGACCCCGACTTTATAGGCGAGCCCCCAGCGCAGGGATGGGGGGCGGGGGAGGGCTCTTCTAGCGCGGACAAGAGAGCTCTGACGTCTTCCTATCGCCAGCCCGCGTGCGGGGACGCCGGCCCAGAATATCACCGATCTCCCCTCCGAGTGATGCCAAGGCTGAGAGCCCACTGGCCCTCCCGTAGCCCCATCCTCCTCCTCACATCAGGTTCCTTCTTGCCATCTTCGACGCCTTCGCTGCTGCACGATCCTCCCAGCTTGCACCGGCCCCCACCCGCCATCGCTGCCTTCGGATTCTCTAAGGGGGAGCAACCATCCCGCCACCTGATCTCAGAGGGTGCAGAGGGCTGAGCACCAAGGAAGCTCTGGGGCGTGGCTGGAGGGGTTTACAATCATGATTGCAGGAGACACCTGCCTCTCTAGGCCCCTCCCCTCTATGTCCCAGGCAGGAGACCCCTGGCTCCCCTTCCATACACCCCCCCCCACACACACTCCACCCCCACCAGCAGTGCCCTTGGCTCATCCTGGTTTTCCCAGGCCCACTGGTTTGGCCAGAGCAAGAGCTCAGAGCAGACACGCTCTGTAAAGAGCTAACAATAGTTCACCATGTGCCCGGCCCTGTTAGCAAGCGCAGTGTTTCCTTATAATAGCGGCTCGGGAAGGGCTGCTCCCAAGCCGGCTCCCCCAGGCTGCCTCAGCCCCGGAGCTCCAGCTGTCCCTCAGCTGCGGCGGGCACACCTCTCCAGCTTGTTCAACTTGCGTGTGAGCCTGTTGTCCTCAACACTGCAGAACGGCCACTGGCCCAGTCCCCGAGGTCCCAAATGCCATGGATACGGAGGGGCTGGGCACCCAGCAAAGCAACAGTAATAGAAGCGGGTGGGATGCTGTTGCCCACGTTTCGGCTGCCAGAGCTGGCTCTGTGGTGGTGTTTGGAGTAGGTGAGATCTATGCCTCCCCTGCGGGGCCTTGGTGCTCCCTGCAAATCCAGTGATACCCGTGCAGTAGAAAACGTGGGCTTGGCCTGAGGATCTATTTTTTATCTTATTTATTTGAGAGGTAGAGCTACAGACAGAGAGAGGGAGAGTCAGAGAGAGAGGTCTTCATCCACTGGTTCACTCCCTAAATGGCTGCAATGGCTGGAGTTGGGCTGATCCAAAGCCAGGAGACTCTTCCGGGTCTCTGACATGGGTGCAGGGGCCCAAGGACTTGGTCCATCTTTCACTGCTTTCCCAGGCCACAGCAGGGAGCTGGATAGGAATAGGAGCAGCCGGGACATGAACTGGCTGCCCTATGGGATGCAGGCGCAACAGGCGGAGGTTTAGCCCACTACACAACAGCGCTGGCCCCTGAGTATCTATTGATTGATTATATTTATACCTAGGTAATTACACATGTTCATGACTGCATATTCTTGTACCTGAAGAATATTTCCACATGTACCTGACTTCAAGGAAAAATACGCTGATCTGAAGATCATTATTAGTAGCCAAGGAAATAATCTAAGTCAAAACCCAAAGGAAGAAAGTGTGCAACTGAGCCGACTCCATCCCCCCTGGGCTCTTGGCCTCTGCAATGGATGCCCTGTAAGCAGGTGTCTGGCAGGCAGCATGCCCCTCCCACTCGGTGAGCTTGCTGGGACACAAAGACTCGGTCTTGTTCCATGGGCTGCCTGCAGAGTGCATAATAGCAATGTTGCATCAGCATATGATGAATGTACAACTGACCTAAGGAGGGCTCAGGTCTAAATGCCTTCTCTCTCCAGGCTGAGTAGTAGAAAAAATACCCTTCCCTTAGTTCAACCAAGATGATCTCAGAATCTTTCCGATGAGGTTTCCGCCTATGTGAGAAAGAGGGGAAAACCACGGTAGAGAGAGCTCTATAGTCAGGACCAGCAGGTGTCTGGGCCCCTCTGTTCAGCTCTGCTCTTGCTCTAGGTACCCCAGCCAACAGGCTTTCTGCCCCTAGACTAGCATTCAACCCCGTGACTTTCCTTGGCACCCCTTAGGGGCAGCATCTGTGTCGGTCTTGTTCAGGCTGCAACCACCATGTGTGCCCCGGTCCTAGGCACGAAGAGGGGGCTCTACAGAGGAGAATTGTGCTCATGCACAGGGGGCTGAGCCTAGTCCCCAGTCAGCTAAGACGATGAGTTGCTACCAGCTGGAGAAGAGAGCATGGCCTGTTTGATTCAGCTGGAATGAGGGAGCCTCAATGGGTGCATGTCCTCGCTTGGTGCCTTTTAAAATCCTCCCCGAAGGGTTGGATGTTGAGTGTAGCACTGAGCCACTGCTTGGGACACCCTAGTCCCTGCTACTCTGCTTGTAATCCAGCTCCCTGATGAAGCGCCTGGGAAAGCAGCAGAAGATGGTCCAAGTACTTTGGCCTCTGCCGCCTACATGGGGGACCTGCATGTCTTGTCTGCAGGGCCTGGGCTGCAGGAAGGGAAAACTGGAAAGGGGTCCGCTCCTTTAATATCCAGTCTGACTAACACTTGTCTCTGCCGCTCACACGCCACGGGTAAAAAGCCAGCCACAGGGTCACAGTAACTACAAGAGAGGGTGGGGACTGTAGTCCTGGTGTTCAGTTGCATACCTGGCTTGGACTGCATCCCTGCTGGAAGACAGAGTCAATGGCATTTGATAGACAACTGAGAAGCTACCAAAACCAGACTCCGGCATTTGGAGAATGAAAAGATAAGTTGATTTGGGTCCAAAATTTTGGAATCCATGTGTGATTTTTCCACAATAGGCATTTTCCATGAATTTTTTTTTAACTTTTATTTAATGAATATAAATTTCCAAAGTACAGCTTATGGATTACAATGGCTTCACCCCATAACGTCCCTCCCACCTGCAACCCTCTCCTTTCCGGCTCCCTCCCCCCTTCCATTCACATCAAGATTCATTGTCAATTCTCTTTATATACAGAAGATCAGTTTAGCATATATTAAGTAAAGATTTCAACAGTTTGCACCCACATAGAAACACAAAGTGAAAAATACTGTTTGAGTACTAGTTATAGCATTAAATCACAATGTACAGCACATTAAG